GGCTCGGGTCGGGTACTTACATACGGATATCTCGGTGATTACACGTGGTACAAAACTGAAAGTATATGTAATCGAGAGCCCTGATCAAGGCGCTTCTCCTACCACCGAGAAATCCATGTTAACCCACCTCTCCTCGGTGCAAATAGTGAAAGTGTGAGGGCCGGGGCCGGAATGGATTGAGGACGGTTTGTTCTCCAGGAGCTTTCCGGGGTCCTGATTCAACCCAAATACTGGTCTGAAACCGCCTGTATTTGGGATGAAACCATACTTTCTGCAAGTTCATACCGGTTTCCAAACCACAACCCTGAATTTGACCGCTGAGTTGGCACTTTGGCACAAATGATACACAAAAATTTCAAAAATCAAGTTTCAACACTACAAAATTCACATACACGCAAAACAACTAAACACCAAAGTGATTCTGTACCATAACTCCTTTGCACATCCACACAAGACAAGTTTACTGATAGCATATTATCATGGAATGGACCCACTAGCCTGCTGGGTGATGTATTACGTCATTTGATTGACTGCAGCTGCAGACTGGCGGAGTGGGTGGTCACAGGCCCTGGCCACCGCACACTTATGGTCAAACTTTAAAAGGTAGACTACCTAGCCTTAGGTGGTCCATCTCTCCAGTTGATCGACTGAAAAAATCTGTAGCTCCCGCCCTGGCCACTGCCTGCTTATGGTCAAACTTTAATAGAGAGACCACCTAGCCTTAGGTGGTCTATCTTTCCAGTTGATCAACTGAAGAAATCTTCAGCTTTGGATCTGGCCACCGCCAGCTTATGGTCAAACTTTAATAGACAGACCACCTAGCCTTAGGTGGTCCATCTCTCCAGTCGATCAACTGGAGCCACAGATTGCCCCAGCCAATCAACTGGCCTCACCTGGAGCTCCAGTCGATCGACTGGAGCAGTCTGTGGCTCCAGCCAATTGACTGGGGCCATCAGGAGCTCCAGTCGATCGACTGGAGCAGTCTGTGGCCCCAATTGATTGGCTGGGGCCATCAGGAGCTCCAGTCGATCGACTGGAGCAGTCTGTGGCTCCAGCCAATTGACTGGAGAGATGGACCACCTAAGGCTAGGTGGTCTCTCTATCGAAGTTTGACCATAAGCTTGCAGTGGCCAGGGTAGGAGCTATAGATTTCTCCAGTCAGTTGACTGGAGAGATGTACCACCTGAGGCTAGGTGGTCTCTCTAATAAAGTTTGACCATAATCTGGCCGCTTGCTTGTAGTCAAATACATGTTATACGATCTGCAAACCACAAGCTGGCCCTGGATTAGTTTCCTATAATTTCAGAGTCAAAAGTGGAGGAGACTCATTGAAGCAACAAGTTTCAAACATCCCGTCCGTCAAGTGCATCCATCAAGGTATGCTTTCATTAATCTTTACCAACCTTACTAGCTTCAGATTTGCACTTCATGTTGTGGGGGTGGAGTGGTAGCAGCCAGTGACTTGAGGATATGTGAACTCTTTAGGGGTAAGAATAGGTGACTGAGGGGAACCCCGACAACTGGTCTAGCCTCTTGACTCACATATCACCAAGTCGTGGGTGTTCCACTCCATCCTCATTCTATGTGGGTGATAATCCTGAAGCATTCCATGTGAGCTGACCTTTGTTTTATTCTTCCTGCAGCCAGGTTTCTGGGGTGAGATGTTATATCTCTCCGAGCAAGGTAACCCTGATCAATACTAACTTTTTACTTCTATTGAACCAATGGCTAGGCAGCAATCTGATGTCAAAGGGAAAAAGGAAGCTGTAAAGCGGGCTGCACATATGGCAGCTAGAGATGCTAAGTATAAACAGGAGAAGAAAAAGAGTTACATGACACAAATTGTGAAGCTGTGAGAATTCACACAAGAGAAACTGTCAGCTCTAGACTAAACATTAGAGGTGAACTATGCGTACAAAATGTATTTCTTAAAGTTTGAAAGGTGATTTCTAGACTAGTGAGGAATTAGTTTTCAATTCTTTGTAAGGTAAACTGTTTGAACCTACAATTGTTACTTGTAGTTGTCTACAGTGCGGAGGAAGAACCTCTGTCAGTGTATCAGTAAGTGCAGTCACTTATTAATCTGGCTAGGTAAACACGTCCTAACATCTAAAATCTTTGAGTGACACTTTAGTGTGGTTTGATAAGATAGAACCTTATCAAAAGAATATAAGGAACTTAAGGAGCTTCATTTGAATAACTTATGGTTAAACAATCTGTGGTATCCCAAGGGTAAAGAGCAAGATAACAAATGGAAGGAAAAGTGACTGTTTGATGACTGTGGTAAAGCTAAAGGAAATGACTACAAGTAGAGTTTTTTAAAGTATAACCAACAAGTTTTTGATCTGGGTAGATTTGTTCGGTTGATTCCATTTTTAACGTAAAAAGTAAAATGAAAATGGGTTAGAAGGTGATAAGTTATTCCGGTCAACCAGGCAAGCTGGCAAACACAAGTACAGAAGGAAAGTCAGTAGGCAGAAATTTTTGTTTTTGCAATTAAACCTCAAGGTGAATGCTTGTCCTTGTCTGCTTCACAGGTACTTGTGCAGAGAATGAGGTGACAGATGATAGTGATGACAGCTGTAGCTTTTGATTTTCGCAGATTTTGTATGGTTGGCTTGGAAGCGATGGAAGCAATGATAGCAGTAGATTGAAATTGATGTGAATTTACAGTTACAGTTGACTTGTGGTAAAGAATCACTTTGGTGTTTGGTCGTTTTGCAAGTATGTGAATTTTGTAATGTTGAAACTTGATATTTGAAATTTTTGTGTATTTTTTGTGCCAAAGTGCCAACTCAGCGGTCAAATTTGAGGTTGTGGTTTGGAAACCGCTAAAAATTGGCAGAAAGTATGGTTTCATCCCAAATACGGGGGGTTTCAGACCAGTATTTGAGTTGAATCTGGTGTTTAATCCAGTTTTGTCAGTTTCTGACCCGGGATTCCAAAATTTTGATTTTTGAAATTTCAAGTTGTCACTTTGACACATGTCGCATTCCTTAGGAAAACTTTTATTTGGTCTTTTCGTTTTTCCAACTTCTTTTCTGGTAACCTAACAGTTTCCTTGAAACCATCCCAGATAAAACCTATAAACTTTTGTTCATATTGAAATTTTGGTAATTTTTCTACATTGGTGCCTACACCCAACTCTTGTGATCTATTTACGATATCTTGCATTTTGGTAGTGGATCCTATCCTTTTAATATATAAGTTGTTGTCAACCCATCTAAAGATGGTGCAAATCAAATTCCTTCATCATAATCTCCTTCCATGCGTTTGCTGGTCTACCAAAGGAACTGCATCCTGCTACCCCACCAAATGTCATGCTAGTATCCAACATTAAAGGCCCTTGCTATTTGCAGCCCACACAAAATCCATGTAGGCGCTGCCAAAACAGCGCCTACATGAAGGTGTCCCACGAAAAAGCGCCTACATTTATGATGTAGGCGCTTTTTCCTTTTGCAAATGACGCCTACAGGCTGAAAAACCAATGTAGGCGTCATTTGTGTACGCCTACATTCTAAAAATAAAATGTAGGCACTATTTTCAAGCGCCTACATTCTAAAAATAAAATGTAGGCGCTTTTTTTGAGCGTCTACATTGTTTTTTCCATGTAGGCGCTTCAGTTAGTTATAAGGGTCTTATACACGTGTGAATAAAAATCTATAAGGGTGCTGATATTAACATATAAGGGTGTTGGTATTAAATTATAAGGGTGGTGAGATTAATTATAACGGTGTTGGTATCAAATGATAAGGGTATTAAATGTAAGAGTGCGCATTTGATTATAAAATTATAAGGGTCTTATAATTAATTATAAGGGTGTCGGAATTAAATCATAAGGGTGTTGGAATTAAATTACAAGGGTGTTGGTATTAACATATGGAGGTGCACAAAAATTACGCCTACAGTAAAAAAAAAGATGTAGGCGCTTCGAATTTACACCTACATATTATTTTTAGAATGTAGGCGTACAAGAATGACGCCTAGATTGGTTTTTCAGCCTGTAGGCGTCATTTGAAAAAGGAAAAAGCGCCTACATCTTAAATGTAGGCGCTTTTTTGTGGGAAACCTTCATGTAGGCGCTGTTTTGGCAGCGCCTACATGGATTTTGTGTGGGCTGCAAATAGCAAGGGCCACATTAAATTACCATTTGAGTCTCTAACCATCAAATATCTCCATTGTTCCATTAAGGTAGGTATTTGTCTATAAGCGTTTTCCCAATCAAATAAAGCTCATAACCATGGTTCTTTTGATGTTCTGAAAAATGCTGCCACTGTTTTTAAATCGTCCCATGTTGTGATAAATAATTTTGGATCAACGAAAGAGTTTACCAAAGGTGTCTTTTGATCATTTCTTGGATATGATAAATCATTTTTCAGTCTCAATGAACTGTCTCCATTAACAACTGTTCCAAGAGGACTAGATCTGAAGAAACCAAAAACTTTCTCTACTTGTTCATGAGTATAAGGGCCATACATTCTTTTTGCTAGAACTTCTTTCCTCATAGATTCTTTTATCTTCTCCGCAGCTAATGTTGATGATGTGCGATTATCTGGCGTAAAGTATTTTAAAGCTTTCACTTTATGATAAGGAATTTCTTGATCAAAGCCATGTATAAAACATGCAATGATATCTTCGTACTTACATATTAATCTATTTGATTTTAAAGCTTGTTTCCATTTGTCAATGTTCATTTTGCACTTTATAGCTGTTGGCCAACCTTCTGGTAAATCAATAGCCAAATCATCATCATCCTCTGTTTTTTATTTCACCGGGTCATTAATCTCAACTGTTTCTGAATTTGTTCTTAATTGAATGTCACAACTATTCAAATGACTTATCAGTACAATTTTGCAATCTATTTCACTTATTACAAATTACAAACAACATTATCATATCATCACCAAATATTCGCTTTCTCAAATGAACGGATTTAAATAAAACAAGAAATGACAACAATCATACAAAATAAAGATACAAAGAAAAAGGAATTTGACTACCTACTTATTACTGGAATTATTTTTAGCAGCTTCTGCTGCAGCGGCTTTCTTTTCTGCAAATTTTGGATCAAAATTATTTCCGGTATAACCATTCTTAAATTTAAATTTTTCCTTTTGATACAATGATCCTGATCCACTCACAACTGGATTGTCATCCCCACATTTACCCCATTTCTGATAAGGTTTTTCCTTCTGTTGAAATCCTTTTTCAAAAGCTTTCTTTGCTGGTAGTTTGCGTGTTGATGGATCCCATCCATCTTGTTCTCCCCCTTCTACCTAAGGGGTCTTCCTGAAATGGGTTTCATCTATCATGGAAACAATGTTTGTAGTATTAATTATCTAAATTGTATTTAACAACAAGATTTCAAGATTTTTAGGAAAGAAGAGACTTACCCCTCATTCTTGATTGACCAAAGCACTCTTCTGCTCAAACACAATCATATGCTGAGAAATCAGGTGGACCTGTATTATCCACTACTTCTACTCTATTTACTAGAGCAAATTCTCTAATTCTCATGTCATACTTCAAGGCTGTTAACCACCCCATCTCTCCAAATACTCTTTCTACATCAGTTTTGTGAGCTATTGCCCGTTTGGTGATTACTGGGGATTTTGAAACTGCTGAGACAAATACATCATAATATATACTCCAATCGTCATAATCCAATAACCATTCATCGGCGTAAGGTAAGCCTGAATGAGAAGAATCTGATTTTTCTCCATCATTTGATCTTGACTTCTTCTTACTGTGACAAGTCATAACTTTAGTTTTCCAGTCTTTATCAGAAATGGTTAATGGAATAGGTAGGGTATCTGAGTTCATTCTATTCTACACTTGCTTGGAGGCTTGGAGAGATCAGGGGACAAATCCAGTAGGTCCTGGATCTCGGTAAGTTGGAGCATCCAACCTGGCGAGAGACTCCGTGGGAGACTTCAGAACGCCTTCATTTCTTCCAACGCAGGCGCTGTTGAGGCGTTCTTCCGACCGTCATACAGGACTGTACGTACAGTCCTAGGACCAACCTACTCCTTCTTGGACCGGCAATGATCGATCTCGATCATGAGTTGTAAGCCGGTCCTTTGAAAAAGCCCACTCACAGCTCTGGTCCAAATAAGCGGAGGAGCAAACGGATGCCAGTACATAGTGTTTCACTACCCGATCAGCGGACCAAGGTGGAGTAGACACTCACAATTTTCACTCCAATAACTTACAGCTACTCTCCCTTTTTTTAAAAAACCTCTACATAGAGAATTACTTCTCTCTGATCATTGCCATTCTTATTCATCGATTAATCAGAAGGATGCTCTTGCGTGAGCTTGTAGAAGTGTTACAGGCACCGGAATATGCAGTCATATATGCAAAATTGCATGTAGAAGATTTTATTTGATTCTGTCTGCTTGCTAGTGATGTCCTGAAAAGGGGAGAAAGAGGCCTTACTTTAACAAGTACAGAGCTTCCAGTGCAGTATATTTCATCTGCAATGTGTGTCAATATTCCACATGAAGCACTTGTACGGTTATGGAGGATTATGTTCCCAGTTCTACCACGTTGCTTCATTGTTCCAAAGGACTGTATCAAGAAATTAGGACTTCTGCCTTTGATGAAAACTCAGATACCTTTCTGTTTTCTCTTTCCACCAACACAACATTTTTACCATTGTGATCCTCACAAGCGCAAACCTCTTGCATTCAAGAAAGACCTCACACTCAATGGATACGTGTACACTTTGAAAGGAGTCCTCCCAATCAAATCCATCTCCTTCTACTGTACAGGTGTGTTGATAATTTTAAATGAACAAATATGTCACATATATCATGGATAGCATCTTCTGATACTCTTTTCCCAGGATGCTTGACATATTTTAGACCATCATATTATTCACGAAAAGGTGTCCGATACTTTTACACACCTTTGGAGGGGCGTGATATTGATGTATTTCAAGTACATAAACACTACTTTATGGAAAGATCTCTAGCTGAGAATCTTCTTTACAACCAAATGCTTGCTCAGTAGGTTCAATGCATCTATACTTATCCTTGAATGTACCACTGACAAAGAACATATCTTGACCCTTATATAGTGTTTCTATCTTCAACCTAGTCACCTCTTACAATCATACATATGTTGTAGACAAGGAATTGCTGCCATTCAAGGCAAATCAGGATTTTGGAGCATCAATGTCTGCTTCAGTTTGCAGTGATGGTCTTGCCCTGAGCATACTGTTATCACATTTTGATAACCGACAAGCAAGAGTCAAAGTTCCAAATGGCGGCAATGATGCTGATTGATACTTAGATGCAATGTCACAGCATTTGGACTGGATTACTGCAGTTGGTTCTGATTATAGAGATCATGTTTGTGACAAATGTTTGTTGATCTTTGACAATAAAAGTCAGTACATTCTCCTACATTTTTCAACAATCATTGTATTTTAACTTTGGGATCATTTGGATCTGATCATCATTAGGAATTAGAGCAGTTGTAACCGACGGTATCACAATTGGTCATTCACGCTGCAGTGCATCAGCTGCACAACTCCAATTTATAGCTCAAAAGAATAATTTACCAGATCCTGAAGGTCCTTGCCTCAACATTCTTGATCACGTCCATGACCGATTTTGCAAATTACACACACCTCTCCTAAAAGATCAATGTATTGCCTTGACCCTCTACTCGTTTGCCTAGATCATATACTTGTGGTAAAGGTATTTGTTCAGAAGCTTTCAAGCAATTTGAACATAGGAAGGACGCAAATTTCTCGCTTGCTTCAAAATTGACTCGACCTGGGGCTAAACTTCCTGCCGATCCTTCTGTTCATCAAAATGTGTGGACCGCTGAGCTTGAAGATCTAGATATAATTCATGAACAGGATGAAGAAGATAGGTCTCATGAAATGGGACGTGATGGAGGAGAGACTGAAACTCAGAGCAAGAAATCACCCCGTCTTTGTTTGACACGGCGTCGAACTCACAATGATCAATTGATTGTGAGTCCATGTGGGATCATCCTGGCACGTACTACTATGTTTAATGCTGAATCAGTCTCTGCAGTCAAGGTATGTGAATATTATATTACAAATTGATTGAATCCAAATATGTTTTAACCTTATTCTTGTGTTTCAGCAATTCATTTTGGACACCTTTCCTCATGGTTTACCTGACATAATTTTTTATGATAATGCATGTCAGCTGGTTCACCACATCTGGAGCAGTGATGAGGACTATGAAACCTTCAAAAACACAGTTATTCCAGTGGATGCTTTTCACTTCTGTTCACACAAAGAAGACGATCAATTCTGTCAGCAGTTCACTAACCCCAATAACTTCCCTGAACTCAAAAAGGATGGCAAATGGGCTTTCAACTCTTCTGTTGCTGAGCTTGAAAACATCTGGTATGGAAAGTTCTCATCTATGTGTAGGTCAATGCATGCTATACGCTACAATTTTTTCTTAGAGGAAATGGTTAGGTTGATGAATATGTCTTTGGAGGAAAAACTTAAGGCAAGGAAGGATGCAAACTTTGTTACAAAGGGGTGGATATTTTAATTATATAGGAAAAACTTTATGGGAAATTATCATTATAACACATTTTTTAACTCTCAATAGGCTGTTGATGATGAAGTGGTTCTCAATTAAGTGGCAAAATTAAGACAATTCAGACAATTCAATGATTAAATCATTGTCATATATCATTATCATTTTTTTGTTGGACAGGTATTGTCATTGCTGAACAAGTCATTAAATAATCACCAATAACCACCACCACAATTAAACTGCAATTGTGAGGATGATTTAACTTATTGAAAGAATGACTAAAAAACAAGAATCTAAAATGATGTTGCATATATTTTGAGAATTTAATATGATAATAACTTGAGAATCTAATGCCTAAAGAATTTAAGATGAAGTTGCATATCATTTGAGAATCTGATGCATAGAGAATTTAAGATGAAGTTGCATATAATTTTAGACTTGAAGATGATATTTCATATATTTCCTGAGATTAAATTGAGACAAGTTGATTGTATCAACATTAACCATGTCCACCAATCTACATGATTTAGAGGTTGTAAGTGGTCAACAACACAAAGTACAAGTGGTATTGTTTATTTTACAATAAATAAAGGACATACCTTTAGATCGATTTTGCCAAGCGCTTTGCCATCTGAAACTCAACATGGAAGGCCTTTGTTCCTTCTTTGACGGTCCGATCCCCATTAAAATCCCACCTTTTCAATGTTTTGATCATAACCAGTTCAACCCACTCGCAATAACCATAGGCTGTCTTCATCTTTTGCTCAAACCGATCACCAAAACACTCCACCCAGGCTTGAACACCTACACCTCGCAGAGATGATTTGGGTGCTTTTGAACACCATATCAAAATCTCTGACAGCTTGAGTGTTGTACCAGGCCATTCTGTCTTGTTAGTTTTGATTTTTTTACCTCTTTTAATGATTATAACTGATGATTCAGAATCAGAAGTTGGATCCATTTCGATTTTTTGATTTTTAGGTCCATGGGAAGATGTAGAAGCGATTGGTGGATTGCTTGATTCAATAACGTTGATTTTTTGTCTGTTGGTCGCATGGGAAGATGTAGAGGATGTAGATGCGATTGGTGGATCGATTAATTCAATATCTGAACCCCATCCATCCAATGGGACCTGTCTGGCAAATAGATCGCTTGTATTGAGACTGGAGCGAGGTGGAGATAAGTGGATTGAGATCGGAGGTGTTTCTCGGAGGTTGCAATCGACCAAGCTGACATTGACTCCTCGAATTAAGAGTTTGGTTGGTGTAGGTTTGTAGTTGAAACTCATGCTCGAATCAGTCATACACTGATGTGATCAGATCAGGAAGTGTTCCTTTCTAAATCGACATGTACATACACTTTGAACGTGAACTTACCCAATCTGAAGGTGATTGGCAGACCCATGGCTTCAATCCCCACCGTGGTCCAAGTAATTCCTCAGCAGCTTCGTGTAGAACCTCAGATTCATTCAGCGAAAACCTTGGCCATTTTGGAGCTTTGACTCAGATGAGTAATTCGTCTACTCTCAGAGAGTCTTTGCGCTAAATAAAAATCATAAATAAATCAACAAATCAAAAAGGAGGTGAAACTAGATGGAACTAGACTCGCCTTGAGCCATACTCAAAGAGTAATCTCGGTTGATGGACCCAAACGTTCTCGATCTTGATCCTGTTGAAGCTTCAACTGACTAGAATTGATCAGATCACCTTCCTCTTGACTCAGGTACTTGCCAATGTGTCTATTTGCTTGTGCGCACTGTAACACGGGGCGAACTCGTCGGGGTGGGAGGCTTGCAATAGCTCGGCCAGTTAAATCTTGAGATGCTACAATTGGAGTTGAGTTAGCTAGTGTTTGGTTTGGTGGTTGATGATACAAGCATGTTATAGCAAGCTTGCAACAGCACTAGAATGAACTGATGACATTGAATCACCATGTCAGGCCAGTCAACATAACGGTGAGTAAGAAAAACCTTACTTACTGCGGCACATAGAGCATTCCTGCACTTCGGGCTGATCTTTCGACTTTTTTGATGTCCTTCAGCTGTACGACCATCAAATCCGAGACGCGTTCCTTGGACAATTGGGACTTGGGTGTCTGATAGTGTTGGAGTAGGTGGAAGTAAGAGGAGGTTGGAGAGGGTTGAGGGAAGGTTCCAGTGTGAATCTGATCTCCAGCTCAAGTTGTACTTCTTGATTTCGTTTTCAACGTGCTCCAAGAAAGGGCTGACAATATATGCACCTCGAGCTCCAGACAAACACTGGATATGTAAAATAAGTCAGCGCTGTGTTGAATTGAAGGAAGGAAAGATGAAAAAAAGATAGCAGTACTCACTCTGATACCAATGAGTTGATCATATCCAGTTTTTTTAAAGTACTTGCATTCACGCTTGCATCCCACATCAGGACAAACAAAACCACACATGACCCCCGGTTTTGGAGGGGGGAGAGGCTTCTGAAGGATTTGAAACCCTGATAAAGACCACATTTTCGAAATCAATTTTGTTTTGAGAGGAATTTGTGTGCAAATTGGTCCTCTTGATTGAGATTGTTGGTGTTGAGAATGAAGCAAAAAAGGTGATGAAACAAAAACATTGTGTGTAGCTGTGAAAGATAGGTGGCGCTCAGCAAAGACTTGTGGCACTGGGTGGCCCAGTATGACACTGTATTTTTGAACATAAATACAGTATCAAACTGTACTTTTTGCTGGAGTCTCCCTCTCCCTCCAGGTTGGATCCTCCACCGCTCCCCCGGATCTTGTCCCGTCCCGACGCGCCTTCGGCGTTTGAGTCGTAGCGTGTCCACCCAAAAGGGCCCTCCTTACAAGTTGTCAAGAGGGTGCGGGTTGGGGTAGTGACAGGCCCCGGCGCGGGGGGGTTCGGTTTCCGTGAACCAACCAGCCCCGGCTGGAGTCCTCCATCCCGGGCCCACCCCCCCTTTGAGTGGGCCGGGGTGTGTTGTGCGTTTGCCTGTCCTCCTCTACTCAGGTGCGCAGATCAGTGTCCTGAGCCGCCGGCACACGCCCACACACGCTTCTGTGCGCCTGGGACTCAACAGGACTCAACAGACTCAACTAGACTCTTGTGGCTTCTGGTTCTTTCTGAACCTTAAACTTATTTTGCCAATGTATCAGCTTTTTGTTGACCCTCACTGGCTCTGTCTTGTAAGTGTCTCAGATTCAACCCTTTCACTTGAGTTTTGGTCTCATTTGGCAATTCAGGTTGATTTCATTTCCCATTTTCCTCCAATCAGTGCTCTGTCATCATTTTTCCCTGGTCATCTTTGTGGATTGCTTCTAGAAAGGTTTTGGTTTCCTCTAGTTCCTTCTGGGTGTACGACTTCAGGTATCTGAGGTATACTAGGGAGCACCACCGACCTTGTTTGGCTATCCTCTCCATCGGGGTACGTAAATTAAAGCGCAGTGACGCACCTCCCACTCTGAAGGAGTGCCCACTCCAAGAATCCACCCTTGACTTTCCCCAAATCTTACTGACCACGTTTATAAATCTAGGTTTTGATAGTGGCTTACGTACTCCTTTCTCTAGCGCAGCAAATAGCATGCTATCTGGGCCCAGTGACACGTCTCGATATAGCCACCGTTTCAAGGCATACACCGGGTCTAGTACGTGCAATTGTTGCTGTAAGTGTATCTTTTGCACTTTGCCTGGTTGTGCGGTTTTTGCCTTCCGTAGGTGTAGCTTCACGTAGTGGTGACCCCCTTTCATTCCAAACTTGACGTGCTTCCTTAGCAGCGCTCCACTTTCCACCAATGGTTGTAATAACTTGCCAAGTCTCGCCATTCCCCAGAATGCGACCAAGCTTACTGTCCCTATCAGCTGTTGTGTCTCCGAGCGGTTTCAAGTCTGTTGATGCAGCTCGAACAGTTGTTTTATCATGATCGGGTTCTTCAATGTCACTAATGATTTCTCCTCTTCTGCTTGCTTCGTGGCATTTAGGAGTGTTTTTACCACCTGGGGGCTAGCTGTTGGTAATGTCCGGTGTTGCACTATGTGCCACGCCCAAATTCCATTGGTTCCTCAGCGAAATCGCTTCGCTTTTCTATGTTTTCAACGACTCCCATTTCCTCGCTCAGATTGGAAATTGCGTCTAGGCTGAATTGTGAGTTTCCGTCTGCTGCCTTTACGAACATGGTGTCGTCTACCCAGCGGAATGCCGCTAGCAGGAGGAAAGACGCTAACATAATTGCTTTCCGTACATCTGCTACCTGCCCAAAAACCCCACAGCCAGCCACGCCTCCAAAAGTGATGCGCATGTCCAGCAGAACTTGGTTGTCAAACGTCAATATCATCAAGTATTTGCATAGGCTCGGGCATGTTGGGATTTGTCGATAGGCTTCTGCCCAGTCAAAGATTGCGAGGAGGACTTTCTTTTTTGTCGCGGTGAGGAATTCTGCTACAATCTTGAAGTTGTCCCAGGTCGTGCCGAAGTTCTCCTCATCTACGTTGGCGTTTACTGACTTTATATCTCTGTTGTGTTGCGGGAAGGATAGGTCATTGATTGGACGTGTTGAACTGTTGCCATTCACCACGGCTCCGATTGGGCTTGTTCCGAAGAAGCCAAGTCTCCTGAAAGCCTCCTCCTTTGAGAACGGGCCTGCCATTCGCCCGGCCTTCAGCTCTTTCTTGAAGTTCTCTAGGATCTCCTTCTTTGCTGCCAAAGCCGAGGAGTGATTGGGGGGGGGGCAGAAAAAGGGAATATTTGGTATGTCTGCATTTTCCACCCCTTGGTCAAAACCATACCTTAAACCTGATAGGATGTGCCTGTGGGATGCTAGCAGGCCTGCCTGCGCCAGTTTGCGCTTCCAGACCAGCAAGTTCATCTCGCATGTGGCTTTGCTAGGCCATCTCGCCGGTTGGCTTCCTCTCCAGGGGGGCTGTGGTGGCGTCGGAGATGGGGAGAGTAACCTGTGGGTCACGTGTGACGCAGCGATTTGGAAAGGGCAAAGAAGGGCATTGGATCATATGTAAGTCTCACACTTGAACGCTGCGAGCTGTCTGTCTTGATTGTCATTTTGACCTCAAGTGGTGCAACTGATCTGACTTCAAACTCTAATTTCAAATTTCAACCGTGTGGCTTACGATTTCCCGTTTCTGCATTCCCCTTTAGCACCCCTTGGGCGTCTACTTCTCGATCTGCTACGTCTACGGTTGGCATTTTGGTCTACCGCTACTCCGCTCTTGATAGCTCTTGCGATCATGGTACGTGCTGCGACGTTCTTCTCCGCTTCTACTTCCGCTGCCACCGTAATCTCTTCCTGAGACTGCTTGCTTCTGCTCTACTGTCATGGTTGTCCAGATGTGTGACACGATCCACACTCCTCTATATTCCGCCAAGTTCCCAGCTCCTGCGACTCGAACGGGTTTTGTCGGCTCATAGGTCGTTGTCTTGGATGATGTTGACGGGGCTGTGGTAGTCGTCTTTGGGAGTCCGGTCAATGGGTTCATGTGAGCTGAAGGGCTGCCTGCCATATATGGATTTGTACCGTAAGCACGCTCTTGCAGAGCATCTGCCACTGTCTTCGCTTCTTTGAATATCGCTGATTGCAAGACGCTGAAGTTTCTAATCTTGCTGTTGATGGTCTCTCTCATCACTCCTTGCCAAATTTGCCTGCAATATCGAAGTGCCACCGTCCAACTGAAGTTGTCACGTGGTTCCATCACCACTTTCCGGTGGCCTTTGAAGCGTTCAGTAAGGGCTTTCCATCCCTCGGCGGCAATATACTTTATGAATGGGCTCATGCAGTCTATCCAGTCTTCAAACTGCATCAACATTTTGTCAGGAGGAGGATGGCCCCCCTAAACTCGGACTGAGGCGTTTCCGTCGTGGATTCTTGACTCAGTGGGTGCTTTCCGCCGGCTCCACTCAGTTTGATCGCCGATGAGGAAAACTTTGTTGAAGACAGTAAGTGGAATATAAGACTTGAAAGTTCTAAGCCAATGTGTCAAGACCGGGGATAGCTGATTCAATCCTTTCTCCATTTCCTCTGTTGTGTCTGCTACTAGTAGTCAACCGTTTTCAACCACGTCACCGTTGCATAGGACTAGGCGCCCCTTCTTGGATGCTAGGAGGAGTTTCACCTGTTCTTTCTCTTCCTTGTCTGTCAAGGTCTGGTGATCATTTGGATCTTTGTTGGCGAAGCAACGAATCGCGGTCGGCGCACTTGGAGGTTCAAGGCGAGTGGCTGGTTGATTGTGAGAGTATTGTTTGGTCTCGTATTGGGAAGGACAAGGAGGATGTTGAGGGAGGCTTGACTGCGTGGTGGGACATTGAGGGGATACCTCTTGTCTAGGAAAAACCTGAGGTGTGATCCATAGACGTTTTACAAGAGGGGTGTTATCCTCTGTTGCTGAGGATAGCTCGTCGTCTACCAGGTGGTACGGTCTCAATTGTGCAAGACCACTTCCGCTTGCCACTGGGACCCTATTTCCACCTTCGTTGACGTAGCTTCCCATTGCGGAGCCAGTTATAATATATCTCAATAATGTGGCGCCTTCTGCAAATCTTCCCTTGGCATACAACCATTCTACCCGGTCGTGCAAATCTTCTGGTGCAGTTTCTGTTCAATATTACAATCCCAGTTAAGTCAGGATCTTTGTCTATGAACAGCACCACTCTGGGTATCTTGCTGACACTCAACCACTCCCCCATCACAGGGTTCTTGGAGTCTACCTCTCGGACGCAATGCCGCTGTCTGTGGGATCATGGGCCTTCAGCCCCCCAGCATCTCGACGTGCTCCACCTGGGATTGGTCGTTGTGATTGCAAGGGCAGGGTCAAGTCTAGACACATGTTGCAAGAGAGAGAGGGGGAAAGAGGTGAAAAGCGAAAAATCTGGGAAGAGGTACCTGAATATCCCGTGACAATTTCCTAGAGGTGAGCTCCTTCACCTCTTGTCACAATATCTACCTGATGGTACTAACCTGTAAGGTTGAATCAGGTCAAGGTATAAACAGAGAAAAGGGATCAAAGTGCTCAGTCTTTGATCTAATCTTTTCCTTCCGTAGAATAACGGGTTTATTATTTCACCTGAATATCCCGTGACAATTTCCTAGAGGTGAGCTCCTTCACCTCTCGTCACAATATCTACCTGATGGTACTAACCTATACAAAAACAGATTTAGAACAAAAGATCTTAAAGGAAAATGAACAGTTAGATAAGACAAAAAGATTAAAAGATGAGTTCATAGTATTAAATCTAATCTGACCTGTAAGGTTGAATCAGGTCAAGGTATAAAAAGAGAAAAGGGATCAAAGTGCTCAGTCTTTGATCTAACTAGCGTTGTGACGGGTTCAGATGAAATAACAGTAAAGAAAACATTCATATTGATTAGTATAACACAAAAGAGAATAAGGAAATAGTGAAACTATATTGAGAAAGAGAAACAAAGGTGAAGAGATAAAATGAGGTGTGTGATAGTATAAAGGGGGTTGACTTACTCTTTTCCTTCCGTAGAATAACGGGTAAGGAAAAGAGCCTGTACGCGTATTGGGATTTGTTCAATTAAATATGAAAGATCATTAAGGTTAAGGTTGTAGTTTAATACTAAGAGTCATAGTTTAAACCAACCTAGATTACTTAGTGTGATTTCTATTACCTGTCACGACCGCTGAAACATATCACAAGAGAGATCAAGGTATATCTCAACACTCCCCCTGTTTCAGATGTCCATGTATTACATCTAATCCTACTTGATCACGGAGTTCTCTGAATGGTCCGGGGTGAAGGGGTTTTGTCAGAGTGTCAGCAAACATATTTTTGTTGCTAATGTGTCGTAGTTTGATAGTTTTCTTCTTGACTTGCTCCCTAATCCAGTGGTACTGTACTTCAATATGTTTTGTTCGGGAATGGAATATTGATTTTTGAGTAAGGGATACTGCTCCTGTGCTATCACTACAGAGGATCGTTGGAGATTCCTGATTGAGTGAGATATTGGATAAAAGACCACGAAGCCAAACTACTTCTTGTCCTGCTTCTGTTGTTGCTCTGTATTCAGCTTCAGTTGATGATAAGGAGACTGTTGGCTGAAGACGGCTTTTCCAACTGACTGCTGCTCCGTTGAGTTTAAATACATAGCCGGTTGTTGATCTCCGGGTACTGGGATCACCAGCCCAATCGGAGTCGGTATGACATTCCGGATAGAACCAGCTTTGATTTCCCTCGATAGCGGTATTTTGAGGTAAGTAAATTAATCCTAATGACTGATTCCCCTTCAAGTATCTAAGTACGTGCATTCCCATTTGCCATGCAAATAGTGATGGTTTTGACAAATGCTGTGATAAAGCTCCAACCGCGTAAGCTATGTCGGGTCTTGTGCCTTGAGCAATGTACATTAAGCTACCAACTAAGCTGTTGTAAGGAAGTTTTGTTCGTTGAAATTCAATTAGATCATTATCGCTAGCCTTAATAATTTTAGTGCCGCCAGGGAGAGGAGTTGATGCAGGTTTGCTGTTTTCCGCATTGAATCTTTCTAGCACTGTTTGAATGAAACCAGGCTGACTTAATGAGTAACCACCTTCTTCAGTAGAATTTATCTCAATTCCCATGACACAGTGAGCTGGACCCAGATCCTCCATCCTCCATTTTTGTTTCAATAGACTCTTAACCTCTGCTATTTTATCGCCGGTAATAGCCATATCATCTACATGTAAATATATCAAAGTTTCTAGACCATCCTCATCCTTTCCATACCATAGACAAGCATCGTGTGGATTTTGGGTTAACCCCATGCTGATAAATTTTTCCTTAACCTTGTCACTCCAGCATCTCGCCGATTGCTTGAGGCCGTAAAGTGCCTTTTTTTAATTGTGCGACTTTTCCGTTTGCTCTTTCCGCATCATAACCTTCTGGTAACTCAAGATAAATTTGTTCCTTGAGGTCTCTGTTGAGGAAAGCAGCAATGGCGTCCATCTGCTCTATTGACCATCCTTTCCCAGCCGCAACTGCTACCAATATACGAAAAGAAGCCAATTGTCCAGTAGGAGCAAAAGTTTTGTTAAAATCAACGCCTTCAGTTTGAGTATACCCTTTAGCAACATATCTGGCCTTATGTTTTGACACACTACCGTCTGGATTAATTTATATTTAAAATGCCATCGGCCACCAACCACCGGAGCATCTTTTGGGCGGTCTACAATTTCCCAAACTCCCATATCCATGATATTTTGCATTTCTTTATCACAGGCAGCCCTCCATTTATCAGCATCAGGAGCTTTCATGGCCATTTTATAACTTTTTGGCTCGGCACGAGCTTTCATGGCTTCTCGGCACTGGTATACGCTCCAAGAACAATTTGAATAGGACATCTTTGGGACTATGCTACGCATTGGGAATGCCTCGATGAAGTTTGTTTTACCAGGAGTATATCGTTCAATGGGTTGTTTTGCTCTCTCTGATCGTCTTGGTTCCTTTGGGCCAGGTTGTTCAGCAGCAGGTAATTCAGGAACAGGTTGTTCAGCTTCTATGGGAAGGACTTCGTCCGCCGGAAGAGGATGGATCAAGGATGGGTCTATTTGATCATCATTTATTGTTTGCGGTTCTTTAATTGGACTTGGGTGGGTGGTTTCAATTATCAAATCATCGACATCGTCTATTGTGTCACGTTGATTTATTGAGTCAATAGGATATTCATTTAATGATTCTTTGTCGTCTGTTGGTTCAATAGGAAGATCCTCAATGAACATCCAATCAGGTCCATCCTCGGCATCCTTCATAAAAGGGAAAACAAGAGGTTGAAAAGTTACATCATGGCTGATATGAATCTTATTTGTTTCAAGGTCAAGGATTATAAAGTTGTGGTTGTTTTCTGTTGCTCCTAGGAGGACTCCTGTCCGCAACACAGGTTCAAATTTTCCTCCTCTAATCTCCTTTCTGATATGACGGTAAACTAGACAGCCAAAAGGTTGAAATCTTTTCATACTTGTCAGCCTATCGTTCCAGAGAGAGTGAGGTGTTGTTTGAAGGTTGAGCGAGGTTGTAATGGTACGATTCTGTAGCATTACAGCGTACGATACTGCATGGTACCAGTATTTGATTGGTACACACGACTGTACCATCAGGCATCTTGCTTTTGTATTGATGGTTCGGTTTGAACGTTCAGCCACGCTGTTTTCTTTGGGAGTGTGTGGCGACGTTACTCTGGTGACAATACCTAAATCCTCTAAGTATGGGGTGAGCAAGCCATTTATAAACTCTCCCCCTCCGTCAAATGAGAACATTTTTAATGTTTCTCCAGTCTGTCTCTCGGCAAAAATGATGTATCGCTTGAAACATTCGAAGACGGTTTCAGCGCTCTTATCTGGTAACCCAAAAGAAACTCGGTAGCTACTGTAGTCATCAGTGAAGAGGATATAGTACTCTTCACAACTCACAGATGAGGTTCTAATGATTCCACTTAGATCGACATGTACGTTTCCTAGGAATTTGTTTGCTCGTGGTCTAGTGGACAAAAATGGCAGACAATGGCTCTTTGCTAAGGGACAGACAGGACACTTGGTAATAATTTCAAAATCTTTTGAGGTAATAGTCTTAGGAAGTACATCTTTAAAATAACCCAACCCCCACATCCTTTTTAGATATTTCTCGCTTGGGTGACCTAAGGAATAGTGTAATTTCAGAATGGTGAGTTGATTTGTTTTTGAAATTGATGACTGGTGGGAACTAGGACTGACAGCTGACCGTAATGCCACATACATCATACTTCCTTCTCCAATGAACCTACCAATGAAAAGCTCTTTCTTTCCATGATCAATTCGAAAGTTTGGATCTTCGAGGACAGTTGTTACAGCTCCGGCTCTGAGTAGTCTTCCTCCAGCAATGAGGTTTCAGGATAATTCTGGAACATAAAGACAATCTTTTAATTTGATATTTTCTCCTTTTGAATTCAGTAAGTTAACATTTCCAATAGAGTGGATGTTGAGGGTAGTGCCGCCTCCAGCTAGGTTCAGCTTAGCTCCAGGGTCATGATTTTCCATCAAGGTAGCTGATTCAAAAAGTCCGGGGTCATGGAACATGTGATGTGAGGCGCCGGTATCGATTAGGGCAACTGAATCACAATGATCTCCTATGCATGACAATTGAGGTTGTGCTGAGCATGAGGAATTTCCGTCCAATTCCACACTGTAGCTGACTTCGCGATCTTCCAATCTTAGGTTGCTGAATGCCGATTGAAGATCCTCTGAATTAGGGAAGTCAGAATCCACGATATGTCGACTAGTTGCTCGATTTTCATGAGAACTGCTCTGACCGTGTCCTCTTCCTCGAAAACCTCCACAAAAACCACCTCGAGAACCACCGCGATTTCCTCCACGACCACCTCTTGGGTATTCAACCCACTCGCCAGCCTCTTGCTTCGATCGTTTCCAGCTCTATTTTACCAGCGTTATTAGGATGATGGTAACACTCTGATTGATCGTGCGGCTTGGTGGGGTGCTCTTGGCCCATACAACGGTTTCGGCTGCAAGTCTGCCATCTACCTGTTCAATTTCCTTGACTGGATTCTGATGTCTCGGCGATTCGGCTGGACTGTTGTCGGTTGGATGAGAACATCTTACGAGTCTGGTGAGTTTTCTTGAGCTCAGTTTTTAGATTTCTAAACTTCACATGCCCGGCATCCAGAAGGTCGCAGCCTTTCTCAGCCCACTCGCGGTTGAGTGATCTGACAAATTGACGTGCTTGCTCTTCTTCAGACATTTCCCCATTCGATCCAAGGTATGCATCTACTTTTGATCTAAAGATATCAATGTAATCGATTAAGTCTTTGGTGGATCCTTGAGATAAGTCAGTAATCTCACTACAGAGCATGAGTTTGACTGATTCCGAGTTGCTTATATGATAGTCTCGGATTGTCTTCCATAGAAGGGACGGTGAAGGTGTAGTCGACTTGATTCCGTTCTCAAATTTGGATATCATTGATATGAACCGGGTGGACTGCGTGGATTCGATACTAGCAAGAAGCCAGAAAAAAATAGCCTTCTTGGTTGCAAAAACAATCTCGGCATCGATCTGTCCTCCGGCATCTTCTGAATCGAGGTAGTGATCATATGAGGTTGCCATTAAACCGAAGCGTATTCCATCTGACCAAGCAGTGTAGTTGGAAGCAGTAAGTTTAGTACTTATCGCTATCTTACGGAGGATTGAGTTCATTTTGATGGATTGCCTCTGAGCAGGGGTATCGGTATCTATGGGGTCATTAGACGCCATTACTAGACTCGGATCTTGGCCAGCAGGGGTTACTGTATGAGATGATTGAGCTGTCTCCGCTGAGCTAGAATGGTCCGACTGGTCTTCGAGCTGAGAATTGGCGTTTGTCTTGTCGATCTCCTCTTGGAATGGAGCTGGAGTGGATGCGGGTGTGGGTAATTGGGATTCGTCTGAAGCACTCTCTCTTCCTGACATATGATTTTCGTTTTCTAAATCAATAACTAAGAGTCGAACTGACTCTCGCTACCATGAAAAGCGAAAAATCCGGGAAGAGGTACCTGAATATCCCGTGACAATTTCCTAGAGGTGAGCTCCTTCACCTCTCGTCACAATATCTACCTGATGGTACTAACCTATACAAAAACAGATTTAGAACAAAAGATCATAAAGGAAAATGAACAGTTAGATAAGACAAAAAGATTAAAAGATGAGTTCATAGTATTAAATCTAATCTGACCTGTAAGGTTGAATCAGGTCAAGGTATAAAAAGAGAAAAGGGATCAAAGTGCTCAGTCTTTGATCTAACTAGCGTTGTGACGGGTTCAGATGAAATAACAGTAAAGAAAACATTCATATTGATTAGTATAACACAAAAGAGAATAAGGAAATAGTGAAACTATATTGAGAAAGAGAAACTAAGGTGAAGAGATAAAATGAGGTGTGTGATAGTATAAAGGGGGTTGACTTACTCCTTTCCTTCCGTAGAATAACGGGTAAGGAAAAGAGCCTGTACGCGTATTGGGATTTGTTCAATTAAATATGAAAGATCATTAAGGTTAAGGTTGTAGTTTAATACTAAGAGTCATAGTTTAAACCAACCTAGATTACTTAGTGTGATTTCTATTACCTGTCACAACAGCTGAAACATATCACAAGAGAGATTAAGGTATATCTCAACAAGAGGGAGGGGTAAAGAATTACTGTTGACGCTTACCTGGGTAGGGGGTAATCTCTGGTGATTTTGCCCAAGATGGCGTAGGGCTGGTGTTGTCCACCGCTTTCCCTTTCCCCTTTTGCACTGGGGGAGCCCAGGAAGTCTTGGCGGCGGCGTCTGACCCAATGAGTGGTCCTTGTAAGATACCGGCTGCGTCGTCGATTAGGCCTTCTAACTTGTTGTCCTGAATTGGTTCCCCATCCACGTCATCGTCTCCTGTTGCACGGTTTCGTCTTGGAGGTTCTAGAGGTGGGCCTGGTAGTTGGCCAAGGGCTACCAATCGTGATCTTGTCAGCGTCAAGTGTGCCGCTCTTTGTGCGGCTTGTTGCATTGCTTTATCCATAGTTGGCAAGGAATAAAGTTCTTGATATGCGTGAGAGAAACCAAGATGACCACCTTTGATGGGGGTGTGAGAGACTTGACGGCTTGCTGACGGTAGTGATTGGTGAGGTGTGATGAAAGTTCGCACGCTCTAGTAGACAGAGTTTCCCACTGTAAAAAGCTCTGATCGTGCACACATTCACGTCTCACCTTTCACAGGTTGCGCAAGCCTGTCATGGACATGTGAACCACCTGTGTTATGGTAGTTATGTCTATGATGTTCTTGTCGAAATAAGGTGTGTAACTTCTCTTAGTATGAGTTGATGTTTTCCCTGGAAAGAACCACATCCCGCTTTCAAAAACGGCACCTTCCGGCATATCTTTGTTTTCAACCGACAAAACCGGGTTTGCTGAAGTTCCTATTTTGTTTGAAGGTCGGTTTATTGGTAAATTACCTAAAGTTTTTTAAATGTTTAAGTACTTCGCAGCTCCTAATCCATCACCTGTGACTGATAGTTCCATTGCTTTAGCAAATACTGAATCTTTATTTGTTAAATCTACACTAGCATCAAAACCTTCTTCTTCATCTGAGTTAATTGATATGGTTATACCTATTCAGATTCACAGTCTGATGTTTAAAATTATGTAATTTATATTTATTTTGATAGTTATTTCAACTATCCTGCTTACCATGTTTTTCTTGAGTAGGTACATCTCCTAAAATCGACAAATAATCTGGATTTACTAAAGATTTATCTCTTCTTTTATCTTTCTCTTTTGATCCATTCGATTTATTAATACTTGATAAACTTTCCCAGTTGTCTTCTTTATCTAATTACGAAGCATGGCAGACCATTTCAGATATAATTCCAATTAATGTTATCAACAAGAACTTTGACTTACTCAAACTTTCATTAGTTGGTAGCTTCTCAAGTTCCTTTATGGGAGCTCCTTGAGATTGAGATTGGGATTGATTGATACCAGCACCTATAGTAACTAGATCCCCTTGGTCTTGATTTGCGCCAGAACTATTGGCTCTTGCTGAGTTCCCTTGGTTTGACATAGATGATTCGATACCAGGATCTTTTGAGAGAACCCCTTGGTTCAATTTTGATAGTTTAATGCCGAGATTACCAGATGCATCTCCTTGGCTTTGTTTCAACATATTTACAACCAATCCATCTTCTTTGTTTGTAGTCTTTCCTCTTCGGTTAGTTGACATCTCCTGAAGTAATTAATAATTTTATGTTTTAGTAGAACAATTAAATCAAGTAGAAACTGATCTATAATTTGATCAGTCTTTCAGAGACAATAGATTTAGATTAATCAGAGCAGAACAGTTTATGAGAAGAGAAAACTGGAGAAGCGTGAGGAATCAACGGAAATGTTCCTCTCTGGAATCAAAGATGATGGAGGATGTTGAGGAGGGGAAAGAGAGGTCTTGAGGTCTTTAATATATCCTAGGCATCTAAGGCTTCAGCTTTGGAAGGGAAAGACATGTCATGCATGTTGTTCCATTCGAGGCACGGTTTCTGGTTGCTTACCAAACCACAGCTACTAAAGGATCCGTTTGCTCAGTGCCGAGAGAAGCTGAATTCTGCTACGTGAAGGTCTCGCTGCCCGGATGCGGGCATGGACAGGAGTAACCTCCCTCGTGCCTTGTACGGGTACTTGTTAGTGTTGCTACGGTTATTTCACAGGAAGAGATGTCCTTACTGGGATGAGCGCTTTAATGGTGAGGAAATAAGTAGCATTTTGTCTGATATTGTCTTAAAATGTGATGAAGTGTTCACATGCCTTCAGATAGGTGATCAGATGGGTATAATAAAACAGTGTGTTCATAGTGCTTCTTGTGATGTTATGAAGTACTTGATGGAAACAAGGAATTTGCTAAAGGATAGGAACAGACTTCAAGGTTGGGCCTTGAAACAATGCTGAGCAAGCAACACAACTCTAAGCTAAAAAGCATGTTGCCTGTATAGTAGCTACATGAGCTATCCAAAAAACTGTTGATCAAGATACGCAACTTATAGAGCTACACTATCAAGGATAACGTAACTTGCTTAGAATCACACAGCTATCTCAATCTGATAGCGTGGCTACAACAGCTACGTTATTGTTACTTTAGCTAAATGGTACATCAAAATCATGTCCCTGAAACACTTTAGAATTTTACTATGTAGGCATAGTGTATATTAATGAGATATAGTTGGATAAGATTGAAACTGAGTAGGGGTAATGAGAAACAAAAGTGAACAAAAAATCATAAGAAGTTCTTCACGGATATACATTCATCTATATACTTAAAGAAATGTTCTTCCCGACCATCCCTATACCTCAGCCTTCATTACGCTCTCCGTGGCCCTTTCCCTATACAAATTCCGCTACAACCTATACTGGACCCTTTACCATCCCTTTAAAATCACAACTTGAGGCAACCATTCCCAATTCCACCTGACCATGAGCCCCTAATTAAGTGGCTACCTGTGGCTACCAACCCTGAGCTCTCACATCCCCGCTTCAAACCTAACTTCACTTCACGCTCCGGGAGTTCGGTGCTGCCTCTCATTTTTGACCTCCCATCACACCATACCGTTTACCTCACCATCAACTCCGCGCGTGAGTAGGCCAACCCAAGGACCTTACTTCATCATTGCTTACTAGACTCAACCTGACGACACCCTCAAACCACGGCAATGCCAGGTTCATCCAACCTTCCCAATGACAACCTTGGCATCTAAATTGCTTAATCAGATAATCATTAACAGCCACCTATCGTTCCCAGACTGCCAAGCCATTGCTGTTAAGCACACGTCTACTCGCGCCATTGCTGTCTCACTTCGCGGACTGCCAAGCATTTCACTTGATATTTGCTCTGAGCTAAATCATACCACTCTCAATTGAATGCAATTCACTTACAACTCATTTGCCCTCATCCTAAATTTCCTTCGACCTACAGTTGTGTAGCGCACATAACCATTTCAACCTAACACCATCGTTCATACACAATGTCCAAGACAAGCAACAAGCTATCACCTAACACTCCTGTTAAGAAGTCGCACTCCTTCCTGGTGTCCAGCATGTTCGAAGTCTCCGAGACAATGTGTAACTGATTATTGTTAACCTCTGTTCGGAAGTGCTCATGTAGTTCAATGCCTTCACACTAACGTCATTGAATATCATTATTAAATGCATCACCAAGACCTAATTCACTTCCAGATTTGTTTCAAAACCCACATTTATCATCTTACCTGACCAAGTTAACCTTTTATAGATTGTCCGCAACTCACTCAAGAAGTTTTCTTCAAATTTCTTACATCACGCAAAAATTTAAAAACACTCAATCAGCTTTTCAAAGTTTACAGTCTTCAGTCTTCTAAACCGTTAGAGTCTAGGCGGACTTTAAATCTTTTTGATCATTTGGCAAACCGTTTGAATTTTTGATTACGTTTACTTATTATCCAAGATATTTTGTTTTACTTGATATACTGGCCAACTTGGCTGTTTTGATTCAACTCGATAGATTACATTTTGATCGATGTCATATCAAATCTAATTTGATTAAATCATTTTGTTCATTAAAACATATCATCATCACACATATTAACAGAGGACCGCCAATTTGAACAAAACTCAAAAAAACTACTCTGTCCGCCATTTCACTTGAGGCTCACGTCCAAAACCCAAGTTTAATACATCACTCACTCTGCATCTGAAATCCAAATCATCGATTGAACCTGAATCAATCAAATCAGCATCGAGATCAAGATCACAACCAGACAAACTCGATTCATATTAGAAACTGTGATCAATGATTTGTCAGTGTTGGAATCAATAAATCAGTAAGATCAAATTCCAATTCACCGGCAGCCATCATCCAATCTCATCATTGTAGTCGCATCAAGTCACTTCATATCAAAAACCAACAATAACAAACTAGGATTACACCATGAACAATCAAATCATCAATCAAGAATCTATGCAATTAGAATCTCATGTTCAAGCTACTTATTTCAATCTCTTAAACTCTACAATCCAATCAAATCATCATCAAATTGAAACATTCATACTATCATTAATTCATTGTCAAATCGTTTTACTTTTGGAGTTACTTTTGGGATCTGGTCATCAAAAGAAAGATGAAATGGAGTTTACCAAATTTCAAGCCAAACTTTAACTTGATGGTAAGTCAGATTGTCACTTTATTAAACTCTTCCAATCTACTAAACCGATCATACGCTTCAAATCAATTTTAGCTACTATGTCCTTTAATTCTCTTTCATAGTGTGTTTCAGAGATCCATAGCCAAAACTTGTAATATCACTGTTGTGCATCCATCTGAAGTTGTTCAAGCAGCCAAAATATGGGCTCTAATCTTGAACTCATTGCTTGTGCTTATGCTGTAGATGTGTAAGGAGATCATGTGATAATTTGAGTAGTGAAAAACTCGATTTGTATCTGATAGATCCCATGTTGTGAAAAATATTCCTGTTATTGGGCGGTCAAAATGCTCTCTGGTGGTTGAGAACCCACATCAATATTTTCAATAAGCTTTATGTCTTGCAGGAACCTTCTCACTTTGACCTAATTTCCGATTTCTCCACTCAAATTTTCAACAATTCATATATTTCCTTCTTCCGAGTTTTGTTGGAAGTGGATAGTAAAGGTTGATATTGTTTGTCGATATAATAGTTTCATCGCCTCCCTGGTTGTGAACCTGGGTTTTGGATGTCACTAGCCTGTGGCCAAGCTGTTGTATTGGTACTGAAGGATGGGAGGATGGGGTTATGGAGAGGAAAGAGGGCATTTTTTTAGGTGGGATTATTAAGGACGGTATCAGAACATCTGGAAGCCCTGTGGGTACGGACTTGAGAAGAATTGAGAGTCCATGGCTGTGAGTATCCGCCTTGGTACGCCTGGCGCACGGGCCTCTAGCCCGTAAATTTTTTCTGGATTTTTCATCCTTTATGCAACACACTGTACATACTTTGAATCATGGTAGTGAAGACCTACAGTGGACTACAAACCAAGCCCAAGCAGGTCCAGGGTCCCAAAGGTGATGGCAAACTGCCAACTGAGTACTGTCCCAGTCCAGTGCTAGAGGGTGGCTGGCCACCCAATTCCAGAGGGTGGCTGGCCACCCAGTACCTTGTCAACTTTACTGAATTCATCACCTAGAGGGACCATCTCAACTAGCCACATATGCGGTGAGACAGCTCTCTCTATGGTTATTGAGGTCAGACTGCCTCGGCTAGATGAACATATATTGGTGGCTGCTGAGAACGTTTGCTCTGGGCCAGCCAAGGAACCTGAGCATGCCAGGTAATCACAAGCCATGGGAGCTAAGATTGGAAAACAACCTTGGTTCATCCATACAAAACAAACACCAGAGGTGTTTATATTGATCAGTAAGAGATTACATATTGAATATAAGAAAATAGACTTACCAACCACCAACGCAGAGCTTCGTCTGGATCGCTAAGATCATCATCGCCTGTTTCATACAAAAAACAGCTTGAAAGTAGTCTTTGACTTGAGAATCATCACCCAAATTCTTGGCTTCCTCTCCTTTGTCACTGTACGGATTGTATATTGCTGAAGTTGATGAAGCTGAGGGTATACCTGACTGGCCAGATGGACTGATGGTTGTCTTCATTTGAGTTGATTGTACTTGATATTCTTTGAAAATCTTGTCGAAACTCAACTTGACTTTGATGTAGGAGGGTGACGTCTTCTTGAAAAACTTCTAAAAGAACTTGAGTCAAAAAGCCGGGTGAAGGATTGTGGCCATCACCAGCATTTCACAAGCAGCAGCTTCATCCAAGTAAACTTGCCACTTTGAAATCATGGCTGCAAGCATTGGATAGAGTGCGTTGCTAGTTTCCATGGTTGCTTCACGCGCTACCAACTGCCTCTTCAGCTTAACATATTTAGGAATCACCATTGCACCTGTAGCCTTATTACCTTCCATCTGTTTTGTGATTGTCAAAAACGGCTGAAAAGTGACATACATAACCGTTAGTTGAAGTTGATGTGATGACATGAAACTGGAAGTAGATATCAGTGAGACTACTTACTTCAAGTTCCAAGTTGAGTTCTTGGATTGACACCCATTCCAAAGGAGTTATTCTCAATGTGTGAAAGTAGCCATAGGGTTTACCATTCTTTTGCAGTTGACAATGTTTCTTGTGTACACGCTCAAAATCTTCCTTTACAAGCTGG